GTAAACCTGTTACTTTGTAATCAGAAAAAAATCAATTAAAAAATTAAAAGTCAGGAAATGATATCAGGAAGGTGATGAATAAAGAGGCCCTGGCCCTTGCTCTCCTGGCAAAAGCAATAATTTAACAATGAGTCACCAGGAAAAATAGCTCTGGGAGAGCTAGAGAGTAAAGTAAAGAAGGTTCAGCAATCCATTAAGGCACAAAACCCAGAATGGCTGCATTGAAAAGTGTGGGCAGCATTTAACGTGTGTTACCACATCTCTTAGGCTGACACAGGTAACAAGGGGGAGTCTCTCTGCCATGACCTCTCTCTGTGGAAGAAGCAGTCAGACCCCAGCAGCCTTCCCCACTGTATCTGGCTAGTGGACTCTCTCTGCTTTCTGATCATGGCATGAGCTGCTTCCATCTGCCCACAGTCTCCCAACATGATGTTCTGCCTTGCCTCAAGCTCCGAGGAGCCAGCCTTCTATGGACTAAGACTTCTGAACCCCTCAAATAAACTTTTCTCCTCTATAGTTGTTCTGGATGGGTCTTTAAGTTGCAGCAGTGAAGGAAGCTGACTTAAACAGAAATTGGTACCAGGAGTGGGGTCCTTGCTGTGCCTAACCTGAACATGTGGTTCAGAAGCTTTTTGAGCTTTTTGGAATTGGTGGAAGGAATTTTGAGATGTTTAACAGTGCAAGCTAGAAATGCTTTAGGTTTTTGTAAGCAGAGCTTAATGGCCGATTCTGGTGGGACTTCAGAAGACCAAAATGCCAATAGGACTGGGGATAATGAAGACGGGTCTCAAGAGGGTTCAGAGGACTACTCTATTGGAATTTGGAGTAGAGGCCATTTGTGTTATGTTCTGGCTGAGAAGCTGTCTTCATTCTGCCCTGTCCAGAGACTTTCTGTGAGACTGATCTTAGAAGTAATGGACTTCTTAATCTGACAGAAGTAATTTCTAGGCAGCATAGCATTCAGGTGGTGGCATGAATATTGCTGGTAGCTTTTAGCCAAATTTATTGTGATAATCGGGGAAAGAAAGCAAAGCAGAAAGACTTGGAAAATGTGGATTTGAAAGGCCAGAGTAAAACTAGGGCTAGTAAAACTAGAGCAGTTGTTAAAGACTTTACTGCCAATACAGAAATGCTAGACTTTTCCTAGAGACAATGAGAAAGATGGCTTGAGGTCATCTCAGGAGCTGGCAAGACCATACTCATCTCAGGCTCCAGGGGATAAAGGTGAAAATTCTCTGGAGAAGAGACCAATGGGTCACCTTTCTTGCACAAGTGGGTCTAGGAAGTGTTTTCAACATGCTCAGCCACCCAGGCACTCAGAGACTGCTGTAGCCAGGGCCCCTGGAGGCTTGGCTACTGCTCAGATGGCAGCAGACCCTGGAGTCAACCACATGGTGCTAATTTTACAGGAATGCAGGATGCTGGAGTTAGGGGTTCATGGAGGCTTCCAGGAGGATTTCAAAGGAAGGCCTGGGAAGCCAGGCAAATTGCAGCAGTGCAGGTACCCCCTAAGAAGTCAAAATGTGAGGAGAAAACCGAAGCTCCAGTGGAGACCCCTGAGATTAAGAAATACCAGTAATGTAGGACATCATCCTAGGAAGCTAAAGGAATTGAGTAAAGCAAGCCAACAGAGAGGCCACTTGGGCTGCAACAAACAAAGCCCCATGGGTAGAGCCACACAAGCCCTTTGAGAGAACATCATGATGTCATATGCCCTAGATGCCAGATATGGATCTACAGGACTTGTTTGCCCAGCTGGATTTTGGTCCTATCCCTTCTATGCCCCTAATTTTGTGAATGGAAATGTGTACTCTGTAACCTTGTGTATTATATACTTGTAAATTGCTTTTAATTTTGCAGGAGCTCACGATGAGAGATTGCCTTGAGCCTCAGAAAAGAATTTGGACGTGAACTTTGAGGAATCTTGGAACTACTGACTGTGGGGACTCTTGGAAATGGGGGGAGATGTATTTTGCATTGTGAGAGGGTTGTGAGATTTTGGGAGCCAGGGGCAAATGTAATGGTTTGAATGTGAGGTGTTACCAAAAAGCTCACGTGTGAGACAGAGAACAAAGTTTCAGAGGAGAAATGATTGGGTTATAAGAGTCTTAACCCAATCAGTGATTTAATTCTTTGATAGGGATTAACTGAGTGGTAACTGAAGTGGCAGGGTGTGGCTGGAGGAGGTGGGAATTAGGGTGTGGCTTTAGGTATATGTTTGTATCTGGTGAGTAAACTCTCTCTCTCTGCTCTCTGATCATGATATGAGCTACTTCCTTCTGCCACTCTCCCAACATGATGTTCTACCTTGCCTCAAGCCCTGAGGAATGGAGTGGACCTTCTATGAACTAAAAATTCAAAAACCATGAGTCCTTTCCCCCACTACAGTTGTTCTGATTGGGTCTTTAAGTCCCAGCAGTGAAGAAGCTGAATAAAAACACCCACTGACGCTCCCAGACATTGCCATTATCACAGACACCCGCAGCCTTCATGAATGAATCTGATGGAGCTGCTTGGAGTCCAAGCCATTGTCCTTACCTGGAACCAGAGCTACTACTCCTGTCAGCTGGTACTTACTCCAAGGGCTCTGTAGCAAAAATGCAAGAAATCTGAAGAAACGAGCAAAGGATTTGACTACACATTTTTCAAAGGTATACAAATGGCCAAGAGAGATATTTAAAAACTGCTCCATATCACTAATCATCAGGGAAATATAAATCAAAACCCAAATGAGAAACCTCTGTTCAGTTGAAATGGCTTATTATCAAAAAGACAAAATTAAATAACTAAATAAACAAATAGCACGTGGTGGCCAGGTTATGAAGAAGGAGGAACTCTTAGGAACCACTGGTGGGAATGTAAATTACAGAAAATAGAGGTTCCTCAAAAAATTAAAATTGGAACTACCATGTGATCTAACAATCCCATTTCTAGGTATATATCCAAAGGGAATAAAATCTGTATCACAAAGAGACATCTTTAGCCCCACGTTCATTTCAGTATCAGTAGCTATGATATAAAAACCATCTAAACTGACATCAATGGACAAATGGATAAAGAAATTATGATATATACATATGCATTATGTGTATAGATGTATATGTTTGTACACAAACAATGGAATGCTAGCCAACATTTAAAAAGAGGGAAATCATGTCATTTTCAACAACATGGATGAACTGGAAAGATATTGTGATATGTGAAATTAGCTCCACATAGAAAAAAATCAAATACTGAATAATCTCATTTATATGTGGAAATAAATGCATAGCAGTAAACAATAGAATGGTGGTTATGGAAATGGGGAGATGTCAGTCATGGGGTGAAAAGTTTCAGTTATGCAACATGAACAAGTTCTAGGGACAGGCACTGTGACTATAGTTAACAATACTGTATTAGATACTTGAAATTTGTTAAGAGGGTACATTGTACTCCCAAAGAAAAAAAATGTCAACTATGTGAAGCAATGGATATGTTAGTGACCTTTATACTGGTAATTATTTCACAATGTATATATATCAAGACATGAAATTGCACACAATAATTAAACATACACAATTTTCATTTGTTAATTGTATCTCAGCAAAGGTGGAAAATTTAAAACACTGTGCATTGTATTATTTATACCAATTGCAAATAGAAGAATTGTGTCAAATCCCATCTATACAAGCAGCTAAATTTTTTAGAAAATACAGTGAAATATTTTTTTATTTCACAGAATTGCTTATTCTATTAATTATTAACAGTTCAGTTTTTCACAGAATATACTTATTTGTTTACATTTAATAATGCATGTGTAGTAACAAAATCTAAATGATAGCCCATGCAGGGGGCAGATATTATGTCTATTTCTCTCAGCTGCTTACATGTGTTAGAAAGGAGCTCACACAAAGCTAACTAGGCCCTCTCTTTCTCCTGCTTATAATGCCCACAAGCGTCTGCTGCAGCATAGCTAAAGGGAGAAGGAAGATGTGTCTTCTGGAGTTTACAGCTGTGGACACACTTAACATAAAATATGTACTATCCCTGATGAGGACATTCAGAAGAGGAATCCAGGCAGTGGGGGACTATGACACTGCAATGCAGTCAGGCAGTTCCAGGGGACCCTAAGGAGGGTTAGGGTGGAGAGACACTGGGAACAGAGGAGAGGAGGACTTTGACACCCTAATGCATTGAAGGTGAATGACTCCAAAATTAACTGAAAACTGCCCATTCATTATCCATTAAGGCTAAGAAACAGAACCTGTTCCTCTTTCTCTGATCACCATAAGTCTGTACTTATATTGTAGTGATATTCAGCTTTCAATCCGATGCACAACATCTATAGAGGGCCCATGATATGCAGAAGACTAACTGCTATGGCAGAGATAAAGATGTGTGAGGATAAAATCCCTGCCCTTGACACTTACAAGCTGGTAAAATGATTAAGCAAAGCCTCACACAACCACATAAATCATATTAAAAAGCCTCAGTGTAACTTTCATTTCTCTAAATCTGCCCTAGTTCCTGTCAGAAGTGTGTTTAGGTGGTAAATGCAAGTATTATTTTTGATGCCAACCTTCTCCAAAGGAAATTCAGTAGTTTCAATGAGTTTTCAAAGTATACCTAACCTCTTTCTGACATGAAGAATATTTGTATTCATAATTGATAATTACATTATCTGTCCATTAATTTAATGAATTATATTTTACAACAGTTATATTCTTGGAAAGATAGTCTATATGAGAAAATATATCTAGGAATGCTAACTAACCATACCCAACCCAACTAAACTAATATTGGAAATATTAATATTTGTTAGAAAGATCCCCTCTAACAAGAAACTTGTCGTCTACTCTGTTTTACTTGCACCTTATACCAGAGTTAAGTGATATATGGAAGTGAGCCCCATCACCACCCCCAGATGCACAATTCAACATCTTCTTTCTGAGCTAAGTAGAAAAAATAAACTACAGGTGTATCTTCTTTAGTACTCACTTCAAACAATGCACATTTAGAATTCACATATCACTGAAATCGGTTGGATCTTTGAATACTTGACTTTCAAACTCCATCTGACTCTGCAAAACAAACATACTCAACTTACAGACTTACAGACTCGACTTACACACACGAACTTCCAAAAAACAGGTAGAGCAAAACAAAATACTCTGCATGTCTCTCTAATGTTTATAGAGAGAAAGGGTAGCTGGGAGAATGGGCATCAAGACTTTCAAGTGTTTATGTGGTTGTCTTCTTCCATAGACTTCATTAGTACTAACTGTATTACAAGCACAATGCTTGGTTCTTGATCCACAGAGATGAACAAGACCCTATGACACAGCTCTCCAAAGGATTCCAACCTAGTATCAAAGACTGGCCAGAAACTGGGTGGACAGATGAGGGCCAGGAGGACTGCAGCAGGAATCAGCGCATATTGAATTCTGGGAGTCCTAGAGGAGGAATCTGGGCACAGTTAGACCATGGAGGGAAGTGGGAGGGAAAGTGTAGGGAAGTGGGAGGGAAAGTGGAGGGAAGTGGCCAGACTTCCTGGAGCAGAGGAAGGCAGACCAAGAGCTCTGGACAATGAAAGGATGTGCTTCAGTAAGGTGAAGACCCAAGAGTGTTCATAGGCTTTATTAACAGAAGGGCAGGGTGACCCTGGCCACAGCAGATACAGGCTTGGATGAGAGGAAGTAGAGGGTAATATAGGTCCCAAATCTGGACAATCTTTTCAAGAACCTTGACTGTGAGATGGAGCCATTAGACAAGAAGTAGAAACAGCTATAAAATTAATTTATCTGCCCTTTCCCTCCTTCCCTCCCTCCCTTCCTTCCTTCCCACTGTCCCTCCATCTTTCCTTTATTTCTTCTCTTTCTTCCTTTATTTATTTCTTCTCTATTTATTATTTATTTATTTATCTCTATTTATTTATTATCCTTCCTTTAGTTTTGTTTTTCAGACAGGACAGTTTAAAATGTTTAAAGTCCTAATGGGAAGGTTTTACTAGAGAGGGAAGAGGTTGTGTCAAGGTAAAGGTAAATGAGGGAGTAAAGGTAAATGATAAAGAGGAGGAGGGAGACAGATCCAGAACTCTCCATCAGGCATTTATGAGATCCATCCATCCACTCATCCATCCATCCATCCATCCATCCATCCATCCATCCATATGTCCTTCCATCATTTACTGGGCATCTACTATGTGCTGTATACAAGACACATTTGGGCAGAGATTGGATGAAGGAAGAGATTGAGCTCTGGTCTGGGGAAAGGACTTCCAGGTAGAGGCAACAGCAAGTGCAAAAGCACACAGGGAAGAACAGCAAGGTGGCTGGTGTGGCCCAGTGCCATGTGAGAATGGGAGACAGTAGAAGATGTGACTGGGGGAGAGAGAGAGAAAGAGGCCATTGTATCTACTCTCAAACCCGCAGGCGGGTCCTGAGCAAGGATAGAGCATGATAGCATTGGCATTATTGAACATACTGAGTATTCTGGAGCAAAGGAAGTAGGGGGAAAATAATGGATCCAAGAGAGCTAATGATCTGGGCTGAGTGACAGATCATTGTGCCTGATACATGTTGATATTGGAAGAGGTTGCAATCATAAATTTTGGAGGAGACAGATAGTAATCTGGTTCTCAGGCTTCTCAATGAAAAACCTGGGTGCATAGGAATGCCACTTAACAATAGGGAAGACTGAGGGAGAGGTGAAGTTTTAGGGAAAACCTGAAATTTGTTAAGGGCATGTCAAATGGGCAGCTGGAGATATAAACTAAAGCTTCAAAGGATGGGAACATTAACAAATCACATAACTCTATCTTTTTGAAAACCCCCAATGAATTTCCATCATCTTTAAGACAACAAGATATGGTCCTTCTTTGTATCTGCCACCTGATCTCCAGCCTCATATGCACCAAGTTCTCATCCAAGACAGTTGTATTTTCATCTTTTACTTACTGTTTCCTTTTTCACTCCCCATCTTTCTTTTGTGTGTGTGTGTGTGTGTGTGTGTGTGTGTGTGTATATATATATATATATATATATATTCATTCTTTTTGCTTAGATTACTTTCCCCCATTTTGACCTGGCTATTTTCTCCTTCAAAACCCAGTTCTGATAAGCCCTCCTATGTCACTGCCCATGTTCCGGTGGTTCCATACAGCTTTTGCACTCGCTGTTGCCTCTACCTGGAAGTCCTTTCCCCAGACCAGAGCTCAATCTCTTCCTTCATCCAATCTCTGCATTTATGAGATGGATGGATCTCACAAATGCCTGATACATACAGTTGGTTTACATACACCTCTTCTTGCCAATCATCATGTTCTATACATCTCTATGGACTCCTCTGACACTAGGATACCCAGGCCACTCTGCCAATTAGTGAATGGATTTTGAAAAGTTGACCAAAATTATCTGAGCCTTACTTTTCTCATTTGTAAAAAAAGGATAATAGTACTATCTACTTCAGAGAGTTTTAGATGGATTCATTGAGGTGATATGGTACTTGTGATACTGCCTGACACAGATGAAGCACCCTATAAGTCATTAAATATTATTATAATAACACTTATCACGCTGTTATAAAACTATTTTCATATTGTCTTTTTCTCTCAAGGCAATCACTGAGCCTTTCATCTGGCACACATTAAGTCTCATTAATTGTTTTCTAACATGAGTGAGTAAGTTATGAATGGAAAGCAAAGCACTTGGCTACAATAAGTACTATGAGATGAACTGGCAATTTCTTCTTTAGTGGCCTTTCAGTGTTGAGAAGCTATTCTCCCTGGGTGAACATGATTCCTCTGGTCCACTATAAGCAAGAAGTTCTGGATTGCATATCTTATATTACACTTTAGTTACAGTTCAGCCAAAGCAATATTGTTACCTTTGGATCAGGTAGACATGGTCCAAAGGCTTCCAACAGAAGAGTCTCTTCTCTCACAGCTTTTTCATAGTCTGCAAAAGATAGCTTCCCATCATGGTCATAATCCTGAGGGGACAGCAGGAATATATCAGTTAACATGTAACATGCTTACCACAACTGCTTGTTATTTTCATAGTCAAATGTTAATGGAAGAAAGGTTCTAGAGAAATAAGGGATTGAGTCATAAAATTGAAAAGAATTTTTTGGGGTTTTGCTGGGAATGGAACCCAAGGGCCTTGCACATACTAAGCAAGCACTCTAAAACTTAGCTATCCCCCCACCTCAAAAGAATTTTGGATATTGTAATAGCACCATTCAAGTGTTTAGTTAACTAAACAGGAAACTGAAAATTCTCATTATTCAAATTCTTATTTCCATTCCATATGTGACCTGTGCATTTCAACATAAAACTCTAAATTACTCAAAATCATTACCATTTTCTTAAGTGTTATTTCAACCAAATCTTTAATTCCTTCATCTGGGTCTTCCTCTGATGGTTGTTTCAGAAGGCTGTTCTTTAACATGTGGAACATTTCCTCCTTTGAAATGAAGCCGTCCCCATTCAAGTCAAATACTTCAAAGCAATCTTTAAAGAAAATGTCCAATTATGAATTTGATATTATCACTAAGGCAACATTTTCTCTGACCAAGTTTTGAGGGCTGAGGTCTATCTTGTTGATGCTTCATCAACCCTGAAGACCTTGGCATCACCTGGTTTTCATGGTAAATGTTGCATGCATTCAAGAATCCTCAGGAAGTTTCTTTACTCTCAGTTATGAAAAACCACATCAAGGAACAATACATCGGACATTTTTAAATCCTGAAACTCTTGGAACACTGATTAAAAATATGACTTAGAGTTCATCAGAGTCAACTATTAAACATTAGAACTTTTGGAAAATCTGCTATGGTTTCCTCTCTAGCACTGAGAGAGTTCTATCCCTGTCTCTATCCTTCAATCAATCCTACTCTTGCACTCAAAAGAAATGAAAAGAAAAAAAGAATCAAACACTTAAATCAATAGTCTCTGATTTTCTGTTTAAAATTCAAATGATGTTAAGTCCTTAGTGCATAAATACATGTGTACATAATTAGTGTGTACAGCAACGCCCACGCAAACTTCCCTGGCATCATAATCACTCTTCAGAATTATTTGATTTTCCTTTTTAGTCATTTTCTTTTATCCCCTGTTAACTCAAATTCATTCCATAAAAGAGGCTAATGAAAATCCAAACCAACCAACCAACAAACTCACTCACCCACTGGCTGGTTGGGGGACAGTAATTTAAACGCTTTGGCTATGTTAATCATAATGTACGAACATTAGGACAACCTGAACTCTTACATTTCATTTTTTCACCTAAGGATCCTCGAAGAAACACGGTTAATCCATTAACCCACTCCGATACATTTATACAGCCGTCATTGTCTTTATCAAAAGTTCGGAATACTAAAAAGAGAAAGAGATACTATGTAACAGCTGTGCTGCATTTGAATTCTCAATAATGTATTTACATCGGTATCGCTTGCTTTTATAATTTAGAGAAAACGTCAGGATTTTATAGTCCAATATTCTCACTTGACAAAGGAGGAAACTGAGTTATCAGAACATTGATATGCATTTTAATTATGCATTTGAATTTTCTCTTCCTATTTTGTGGGAAGAAAGAATACTCTGAATATCTAAATACATACATTATTAATTAATAATACAATATTGTGATATATTAAAATGTTAATTATATTAGATAATCTAAACATATTAATATAAAATATACAATTTCATATTTTTGTTACTCAAGACAAGGAACATTATTACATGATAAGACTGTATTCCATTTTTATTTAGATATAAGAAAATTTAAATGTAGTTTAGAAGCCATTATATTCATTATGTTTACTAAGAAAAAATAGAAATATTCCAAGCTTTTCAATATAAGGGAAATCTAATTACCCAACCTTCGTCATGTTCTTACATATAAAGAGAATATTACATCTTTCTCTAATTATCTTTGGAAAATTAAATGTTTATATTCATATAAATAGAGAATGTAGAACATTAAGCCTCCTACCAAGATTATGACCGAACTCCAAACTTTTAATTTTTTTTTCTGGTGGCTACAATTGACTGATTTAAATTTTGTATATCTCTTACCTCTGTCCATAATCATGTCATCTGTCATTCCAAATGTTACATGTAGGATGTTCCGAAATGCGTTACGATCTAGTCCAACAACTGCAACTGGTCGCTCTGCTACATCTCCAACCAAGTTATAGAAAAGCTTTATGAGACATGTCACTTCAGATTTATTAACTGTAGAAAAATAAAGGTAAAACAAAAGTGTATTTCAATCTTTACATTATAAGCTAAATATTGCAATTGAAGCATATTTATATGCATTAAGACTATGTCATATATATACATAAATACATCAGTATATATATTTACATATATATACTGTATATACATACATACATGTGT